CAATTACGCTTCGAACAGGCCAATGTAGACGACAGAATGTCTTTTCGTATTAATAATAAATAGCACATTATGACACACCGTTTATTCTTTCGTACGGGGTGAATTCAAGATTACACTACTATTAGGTACAAGGTCCTACTAATGCGAACGAGAAGTTCCCAGGGCGAACAATTTCAATCCACACACGCATCACAGTAGTAAAAAGTCCATATGTAGACATGCAATGTTTAATTGAACAACTGCTGCAGGCAACTTTCTTTGATGCAGTTATCGAGAGTATCTGGGGGTATCTTTTATATACAGAGAAATTCTATGGCCAAATCTTTCCGAATTTCCAGTAGTTCAGAGAAGTAAATCTAAAAATGTTGAAGACAAGAAGTTTTCGTTCGCTGAATGATGAGTAGTAAGCACTGGAACAAGATTTGAATACAAGGCAATACTTATGCCGAGACAAATAAATGAACAGTTTAGATTTTCGTGACTTTAACGATTCATACCCTCAAATCGAGCGCCTCAGTCACTACAGTTGGTATGTGATTGTTGCAAAAATAGCAAGGAGAAACTTTCATAGTCAAATACCTATTGAATCTAAGTAACTTTAGTAAGCAGTACACGGAGGAGATCATTCGCGAAGTTTTTAGAGTGATCGGTAATCTGAACTGATAACTCGATAACACCCCACTCTTCTTAGTGAGCAGCTAGCCGGCACGAGATAAGAACCTAGTCCAAAGTTCTCAAAGAGACGGAAGAGAGACTGTCTGTGGACCAAGGCGCAGGCGACCGCGCAAAACAAAGTGCTAGGACTCCCACAAACTCTTGGAAAACGACGCCTGTTTTCACAAAATTCTCTCTAAAAACGTTCTTGAGTGTATTAGTACACTGGATTAGATAAAGTACGGCAGTGAACACGAAGGAGAGTAGCTGAAGTTAATGAAACAGCGGTGCGAGACTTTGAGCGACAGCGAAATATGCGATGTATGTTCTGTATCTGCGGAAGATACGTGCCAGACATGACATTGCTCCCTGCGTGAACTACGGAATCGAAGAATCTGCGGAAAATGCTTGGCATGTACTCATTGGGCAATCGGAGAATAGTGGTTCAATGGAAAGGAGTAAAAATTGGAAAACCAGGGAAGCCGGAACAACTGTTTGTCGGATTGGTAAGTGGGAAAACCATTCCGCCAATCCTTTTACGCTTCGCTATCGCGACGCCAAATATTTGACTCCATCGATCAGTTCACATTTAGCCCTTTTCGCGGATTTTTAGGATCTTTTGTTGTACTATGC